GTGTTCTTGTCGTGAGGCAATCATCGGACAACTGATACTGGGATCTCTGCAGGGTACTCCGATGAGTCCGCTGCAAATGTAAATGTACATTGTATGTTCTAGGGTCTGGTTAGGACATTGAGGCTTGAGTTGAGCACTCTCTGCAGCTCGGGGATCAGCGGATTTGTAACCCTCCCCCCCCCCCCCCTCTCCACCTTACGTGTAGACTAGTCAGATCGGGAAATGCACCTGCCATGGCAACTGTACAGTACTCGTACATGCACAGGTTCGTGTACTACAGCAGTCACAAAACGAGTACGAGTAGATCTAGTACTAGTCAACACACTCTGTGTTTTTTATTTGACTGGTAATAAACGCTTCTTGTACGGGTACAAGAATCAAAATTTTCGGAAAACCATGGACTTTCGCTACCATACTTGCGAAAGTTCGACTACTTTTTCGACTCCTGCCTCCACATTTCCGAAAATAATTCCGAAATTCGGAATGCAAAAATATTGCACATGTCATGTAGATCTACAGTAGACTACACATGAACAAAACATCAAACCTAAACCAGTGCCCAAATCCTACAGTCATGTACATGTATGTGCCCGCCCATTGACCTGTGTGTGTTGACCCGTGCACCAGCCTACGCAGTTCATCAAATCCGCGGTTCCTTCCCCTGTCATTACCACTAGACCTACAGAATGAGTCTGTTATGTCAAGTAGCACGTCCTACATGTCTGTAGCCTAGTGTAAGAGTGTACATGTATGATGTAGTTACAGTGTACACGTACATGATTGTACAGTCGTGTAGCTCGCGCGGCGCTACTACTACCACTGTACCAGACTACTGTACATAACAGTACAGTGAAACCTGTCTAAGACGACCACCGCTCAAGGGACCTTCAAAACATGGTCTCTGTTACCAGGTGGTCTCCTTATCCAGGGTCTGTTGACTGGAAATACTATTTAATAGCATCTCTTGGTCCTGATTTTAGTGGTCTTCTAGGACAGGTGGTCGCTTTATCAGAGTGGTCGCCTTGACAGGTTTTGCTGTACATACATGTACATGTAATTGTAGCTCGCGCAGGAGGTGGTGCAGAAGTGCAGGACAGTCTCCAGTCGTACTACAAAAGGTACATGATTGTAGTACAGACTCGGTGAAACCTGTCTAGGCGCCCAATACAAGTAAGTTAGTTAGTTAGTTTTAGCTTGTTGTTGGTTGACAGCATGTTACACGGTGGAGGACAAACTGTGTTTGGAAACAGTGCCCCTTGGCCTTGCACACACAACACACACACAACGGTCACAACCTCCACTGGCTCCAGGACCACAGGCACAGACAGTTGGTAGAGCCCCCCGGGGTCTTCTTCTGGGGCTGTGCCAACCGTGGAGGATGTACATGTAGTTAGGGGTTAGGGGCACTATTTCCGAACATAGTCACTGTCAGTGTGTACTCCTCCGCCTTGTACATGTACATGTATTGTATGATTGTTTTCAACAAAACAAGGCTTAGGGGCCATCCGTAAATAGATATCTACATGTACATACAGCCTTTTACAGGACCTGGTCCCTCAAACTGTGGTCGCAGTGCACAGGTGGCCTCCTTATCCAGGGTCATTGGACTGATACGCGTGTAGAGCCCCTTGCTTGGTCCCATTCGTAGTGGTCGTCTGCGGCAGGCGGTGGCCTCATCAGAGTGGTCGCCTTGACAGGTGTTAGTGTACAGTACCGGTATACCATGGTCTTTTGTCAACAGTTATTTTTTAATTCATTTTTTACTAAGGCCACAGTTAGCTTCCAATCATGCCATGCAAAGCAGCGGTGCAGCATCGCAGGCATGAATCTTATGAGGGGGCTGAGGCTAGGCCGTGAAGTGAGGCCTGAGCCTGAGGGGGAGCTGTACGATGTTCGTGGAGACGAATGAGTGACATACAGTTGTTGCCAGTGATCATGGTGATGCAGGCATCTTAATCTTTGAGTGTGATCATGGTGATACAGTAGTCGTATGCTGGTCGATCGTAGACGAATAATAGTATTAATACTGAGCCGTGTTGCCATGCAGTGTATATACATGTAGTGAACAAGGCCGACGGAATCAGATAAAAATTCATAGATCTACACTGCACTGGATCAGGGCAGGGGTACTGGTAGAGTCAGTTTGTTCCGTGGCGACACGATATACATGTAGTGAACAAGGCCGACGGAATCAGATAAAAATTCATAGATCTACACTGCACTGGATCAGGGCAGGGGTAGATCTACTGGTAGAGTCAGTTTGTTCCGTGGCGACACACGCGCGCGCCTCGTCTTGCACTTCGGATTTGCAGGCGCTAGGCGTCGGATCACGGATCTACTGACTTGTGCCTGTGGTTCCCGTCAAACCGCCGCCTACTAGTACTCGGACGTCTCTTACGGGCACCTTGGGACCGGGCACTGCCCGCATCTCAGATTTGCCCGTATCTCAGGATAACTCATCCACCACGTATCATCATTTTTGAAGAAGTTTATTTGGCACATATTGCACATGTTCAGGATACAAAAAATCCACTGATAAAAAAATGTGTGGATTACACAGCTTGGCAGTGACAAATAAGCACTTGTGCATACCAACAAAGTTCAAACCTCCCAAATTCGGAGCATTTTTGCCCTAGGAACTGAAGCAGAAGGTGCCCGGTAGAGAGACGTGCCCGTATCTGAGGCGTCCGGATAAGAGACGTTTGAGTGTACTAGTAGTAGACCTACTAGACTGCATGCACTAATCTGGCTGAGCTCGTCGATTTGATCGCAAGACGCAGCCCGGGCACTACCTGTACGGCCTAGGTCCGCTAGTCTGTGTATGCGCAGTACAATGGAATCATCGCTGTCATTAATTTTTATTTCGGCATATTGCCTGTTGGCAACAGATGTTTATGGTAGTTTTATCTATTAGATCAGGAGGTGGGAATCACGTCGTCTCACATACACTCACGTACGTACATGGGCAGTATAATTATAGTAAGGGAGTAACGGCAGAGTCGAAATTTATTTTGAGCTCTGGTGCGAGCTTTCGCTGCGAGCTGGAAATCGAGTTCATGTAATAGGTGTTACTTGCCCGACGTGCAACGCTGATTAGAATTGATTTGTAGAGGGTTTCTGGAGTACGCTACAAGAAGGCTCTGGTCTCTGGTGGCAAATAATTTAGTATTCTGCGGCAGCAGCTCACTGCGCGCGTGTTACTAGTAACGGCAGGAAACCCAACAAGGAGTTTCAGTAGCTGTGCTGTACTGGACGTGTAGAGAGTCGGAGATGGAGTGGTCAGGTCGTACTCGTCGAATCCAGCGTCTGCTGCTAGCGCTGACTGTCGCTGCGCTATGCTGCTGTTCGCCAGCGTCAGGTGAGTGTTCCCATCTCGATAGGATGTACTGTTGAGTGTTGTGACGACGGTGTTGTAATAATTATTACCCCCTGCCATTGGTATCGCGCTGGGTATGTTGTCGCTAGCTGTGAACTGGCCCTATGCATCCTCGCATAGACCAGCACCTGTTGGAGATGTGTAACAGAAACAAACCGTGCTTAGCCGATCTCTTGAAGTGTATTTGAGGATGGACGTTGCGTGAGTTTGTGTAGGGAGTTCGTTGAGATTTTCGTTGTGTAAGATTTGTGGAAGCCTCGACCTAAACTGTGATGTTGTGTTACCTGCTGTGGCTCTGCATCGTATGGTATCACGTCGCTTGCTTGTTTGAAGTCTGCAAGACAAGGACCTGAATGCAGTGTCAGTGAGTTCCCCAGGATCTCTGTGAAGTAGCGTATGGCAACATGTAGGCTAGTTGTGGCAAACGACCTGCCTGCGTGCTTCGCGCTCGGCCGTGACCGGCTTCATGTAGCGCTCGGTATCTGCGTGAGTGCATAATGTGGATTAAAGTATTCAACTCCACGACTTGTTTGTACTGGATGGTGTTCGCTGATGATGTTATGACTGTGTTGCCTTGCGAGGTAACACAGAAAGTAAGTAAGTTTGTACCCACATGGTACTCATGTTTTGTGTGACTTGGAGAACAACTACGAGTAGGAGTGTGGAACGGCTGCACTGCATGTCTGAAGAATCGATCTGCAGTCTGATTAGGTGTATGTGCATGGGTTGGAAAATGTGGGAATACCTGTATGTTGAGTTCGCCTACTGTTTCGTCCGTAGAGACGAAACTAATGTCTGTCAGTCTGAGTTCGCCTACTGTTTCGTCCGTTTAGAGACGAAAATAATGAACAAGCAAGGCCAGAGTTTGTGAGGACTTAGTCTAGTTTGTTTTCAGCAATCCCTAGCTATGCCTCTCATGACATGGATGCAATCATAGCCGAATCCATCCATCAGTCAGCATCGCTGTCCCACTCGCCTATGCCTGAGATTGTTTGAACACAACATTATGCCGTGTTTGAGTGACTGCAGCCTCCACGCACACAAAGCGTCGTCGTAGACGAAACTGTCCGATTACGTTGTGATCAGCTCTTATTATAGTATCCCTCTTCAGAGTTATGAAATTGTCTCTTGTGTGTGTGTATGTGTGTGTGTGTGTTCGCCGGTTGTGTGGATTGGGCAGTTGTCTGGTGTTAGCAGTGATCTGTCTCATTCAGATCTTGTCCGCTATCGTTGCGAGAGAATCTGTGGGTGCATTTGCATATTTGCGTGTTTTTTTCTCTTGTGACGGGCGAAGACTCCACTACTAGTGAGTAGTGTACCTGTACATGGTGTGTGCGTGTGTGCGTGTGTGTGTGTGTGCGTGTGTGTGTTGTCCCACAATCGAATGGAAGTAACAGTTAGTTACGTAGTTCAGATTTTCGTAGAGCGTAGCTGTAAGTAAAATTTTGTCTCTGCTCTGCTTGGTCCGGTGTAACTTACTTGTAACTACTAAAATACATTGTACATTGTATTACTGGCTGTGTGAGCTGAGCGGACAGCGACTTTGTCACGTTCTCTGTTCTTGATCGGTGAGTGAAAGACTGTCAGCCGCGGAGGCAGCGACAGGTTAGTGACGGAGATCGCGTGCATGTCGTCTGGGAACTGACACACTGAGTAGCTCGCGGCGGACTTGATTGTCGTTGTCGCTGTTGTTGGTCCCAGAAGAGTTCTCAGGGACAGGCGCACACACACGGAGTTTGCGTGGCAGTGGGTGCACCCTTTGTTCATCCGTTTAGTTCGTGCTCGTGCAAAGACATGCTGTCCACGTGTTCGCTGTTGTTGAACAGCTAATAATAATTGCTACTGAAACTATGAAGGGACGTCAGAACGAGTGAACGCTCCAAGAAACACACCATTCTTTTTCTGCACGTCCGAGAAACTGCGAGTGGCAGTAGTACTAACTACAGCAAGATCGTGGCGACGTTGATCTACTAGCGAAGCTACTTGACTTGAGACAGTTGAGTACAATGTACTGCTAAAATGTCCAAATGAAGTCCGGATCGTGTCTCCAACATAGCGTGAACTGATCATCGTTTTCCCCTTGCGAGTTTCAGCTGCTCGCCTGGCTATCTGCCGCAGCAAACTACGTAATCGAGGGATACTCACACCTCGTTTTCAAGTAATTAGTTAGTTCACGATGTGGACTGCGTGACCCACTGACTGTGGACGACAAGAGTTCGAGATTCCTGGCCTGGAAATCGTGCACGTGCATCGTTGCCATCCTCGCCTCCTATTCCCTCTCTTTCATCCGCAGAGACCTTTCGCCTACTTACCTACGAACTCTAATCTTTGCTCTCCTTGATAGAAGTGCCTGCGGACGTGCGTGGAGAGTAGCTTGGCCAAGTGATTTTCAATCATTTTGTTTGGGAGGTGTCATGCTAGGTACTACTACTAACTTAGGTAGCGGATAAAAACAAAGGAAACGTCCGAAGGTCCAGATCTAGTTGTGAAACCGGCGGCTCTAGATCAGTTGCACTTCCAGGCAAGCGTATTTGCTTGCGTGTGCAGCGCTGGTGGAGTAGCGCGCAGCTAGCGCGGCATGGATGCTGCTTGTCTGTATCGGCTGCGGCACGTCCGGATCGTGTACTGTGCATGTGCTGGATGAGGCCGGTCACACTTCACGACTAGTAGTGTCCTCCGTGACTTATGAAAGTTTTGGTCTTGCAGCTCGAAAAGCACAAAGAGTCGAACCAAACCCGCCTGGACAACTACTAATCATCGTCATGCTTCGCGCCAATCGTTCGGTGGCCGGTTACGCAGTGAAGCCGGTAGCACCCATAGCTAGCGTCGTAGCGAGCGGGTGCTTTCCAACTCCAAGCTTGTTCCCCAGTGCCGGTGACGGGCTCAAACACTCGCTGCATGTAAAATCCCTGACGAAAACGAAATAGTTCTCTCTTGCAGCCTTGGCGTAGTCGCTGCCAAGTACAAACTTCAACCATTGTACTATCTACTTCTGACTGCATTCGGTTTGCGAAGAACTGCTACCACCCGATCTGGTCTGACACTGGAATGCGCCCGATCTCGTTTTAGCATTTTTTTCACTAGGACTTGCTCGTGCCCGCGTGTGTCTTCCAGTAAGCAGCCGTGTTTTCCCCGTGTACGCGCCTACAATGTAGTCCTTCGCTACAACGCTTCATGTAGGTCTGGGTCGTTCACAGAATAATAATTCGCGTTGACACCCATCCATTCTGCGACGATGGCATGCACGATAGGCAGTGAATCACGTTCCACTTTAGAAACATGTAGTTCAACACTCAAATGTTCTTTCACTCTGTGTTCCTCTCCTGAAGTGGCCGGCTTCACTGGCTTCATTATGGCGTCCTTGTTTTTGCGAAAAGTCGTCAATGTGATTGTCTTGGCTGCAGAGGCTAGGAGAGTCTGTGTGATCGCAATTATTATTGTATCTGTGTACGTACTTCTGACTGTCTCATTCCACTGTATTGTCGTACGATGTGAGAGAGTTGCTGAGTTCCTGGTGTCGATGTAGTACATGCACTGGAGTAGGGAATAGTGCGAGTAGACAGGGTTGTCAGGTACTAGTACTAGCACCTGCTGACATAGAGAACTTAGTTGCCATGGAGCTATGTACGGGACGGATAGCGACCATGTTCTCTTTTTGGGCCCAGTGAGTTCTATAAAACATACAGTGCACGGATGTACAAGTAGGCGGGCAACTGCAGCAGGTAGTCCAGACAAGAGCGCATCTCAACACGCAACAATAGATAATCTTTTACAAGCTGGCATCTTACCAAGTAACACGTTAGTTCCTGTGCGCAGATGCACCCTTTTGTAATGCCACCGCAGCCCGCGGGATCGGCATTTGTAATGCCACCCCAGCCTGCGGAACCGGCATTGGATGTCGTGATTAGTACGCATTCCAACACAACAAGTTTACAGTTACATAATTGTGTTATGTATTACGTAGCTGTATGTTGTGATCACTGAGGTTTGTGATTGACTTTACTTGATACTATCAAGTAAAGTCAAAACGTTCACATTGCCACCTGTTACAGAATTGGGTCCAGAACACACAACCAGTCTAGGAAGTTAGTTTTGCTTGTGTCCCGCCTGAGAGTGAGGGCCAGTGGTCACAAGGAATACTATAATAATTATTGTAGAACTTGCTATCACTTTCTTTTTAGGAACTCTGAAACTCCATTCTAGCCTTGTGATATTTTCAGTACACCCGACTCGCAACACACGAACAGTCCTTGGGCTACACCACGCACATGGGTATCCCTGATGATGCGGCCCTCCTGGGTGAAAATTTGTACAATATACTGTACGTGGTGTGGCCAAGGCCTGTTCATGTGTTGCCAGTTGGGTGTACTGAACATGTTTCTATTACTGCTGTGGAAAAGGTAGATCATAGGAATGCCACACACACAAATGCGCAGGTCTCAAGTCTCGCGGCACGACCTGATCTACTGTGCACACTGCTCCCCATAGTCAATGGAGTACTAGTATGTGGAAAGTATGTGAAATCTTCTGCATACTCCACACAGCAAGGCTTCACGTGCATCCGCCGTTGTGTTGCGTGGAGGACTAGTCGTTGGCGAGAGAATGTTTTTCAGATGGTCCCCTTGGGAGGGTGGGGAAATACAGACTGATGAATATCTAGTGGGTGGGTAGAGAATAGGCGCAGGATGGATTAGATGCGACAGTAAGAATTCCTGTGAAGTACCGTCAGAGTCTTACGTGCAAACGGTGCAATTGTTCTTTCCAGTACAGTATTTAGAAATAATTCATGGGTAGATAGGTGAGATTGATAACAGCAGAGGACCCCCGGTGTGGTGACAACCTGAACCAATGTTTGCCCGCCTGTTGCACGTCTAGTGCATGACAGTCCATACCTAATACGACTCGTGCATACTAGCACACTAAGACCTGCTTCAAGAGACCACCTGCTTTGAGAGGCCGGTTATCCCTGGGACATTGCCCCA